CCGACGGGTCCTTTGCGGCACTGGGGAGAGAGGGCCCTGGAGTGGAACGCATTTTCACATCCCACGACAGACGCTGGAAGAAATTCCACTGTTTTCGTAGGAAGCCCGAGTGGGACACACACCGGAAGCCGGAGCACGCCCACAGGTTTCTCCACCTCTGAACTCAAGCGCTGCAGGGCCGCATATCTGCACCTGGGGTAGGGACAGTGAGGACAGTGGGCTCTGCGGCCCATGGCGGTTGGAACCCAGGCTCCGGTTTCTTGGGTAAGTGACCTGACTGTTCTGTGCCTCAGTTTCCTCCTTGACAGCACACGCCCCTTACGGGGTTCGTGGCGAGGATGAAAGGAGACCTCTTATGTGAGGTGCTTACCCCGGCGCCGGGCACGTGCCCACGGCCCTTCCATGCCAGCTGTTTTTATTATTGTTGTTATGTGGACTCGGAACGCCAACATCTGCAACATATATACTGCCTTGATTATACGCATCTTGATTATAAAACAACCAATGCATCTACATCCGGAACTGTCTTGGACATGAACTTCTAAATGCAAATCGGAAGAGACGTCTGCATATGAACCGGCACAAGTGCACGCCGCACACTCGTCTGCGCCTAACACCTGTATGACCTGGCCCTTGAACGCAGCCCCCCGAAGACCCTGCCCACAGGGCGCAGCTCGCCGCCTGGCATCTACACCCCGACAACAGCCACTCTCCTGGCTGGTTGCCGTGAGGTCAAATTTGGGAACCAGTGAGGCAGAAAGCGCGCGGATGCGAATCGTCTCATGCCACTCGGCAGCCCGAAGGCGGCTGCCTGTCTGCCGGCTGAGGGGAAAGGTCACAACGAGGGTTTTTCTTCTTGGATGGGATTTTTTTTTTTCTAACGGCCTACGCGCCGGGAACTCTCCCCACAAAGAACGGGTGGGTTTCAGGGCCGAAGCAGAGGGAGACTCTGCTCACGCTCACACTCGCGGGTGCCCGAGTGCACACACCCGGCTCCTTCGGGGTCGCCTGCACCCGGGAGGCGGCACGCAGGGTCGTGACCCCTGCCTCTGCCGGAGCACGCCCTTCGGCCTCTGCAATTAGCGCCGGGAGGTCAGCAGGAACCCGGACGCCTGCACCCGCAGCTCCAAGCGCAGCAAAAGGCGACCCCCTCCCTCCCCCCCACCCCGCGCCGCCAGTCTCAGACGCCTGGGCGCAACCAGGCTTGGAGCCGACCTTCCCAAGGGGCGGGGGCCGGAGGGCTCTGGCCGGCACCCGTATTTGTCACCTTAAATCTACAAATCACCAAGTCGCTCGGCCCTGCAGGCTGCGGTAGCTGACCCTCGCCCGTGCCCTTACGGATTGCCGCTCCCGCGAGCGGTGGTTTTTGACCCTGTAGATGCGGCCAGTGGAAAAACCGAAAGGAAAAAAAAATCCAGAGTTACAAAGTAAGATAAAGAGAGAGGGAACTTCGAGGCAAAGGCGTTGCACCCAAGGTAGAATGAGTTGTGTATGTTGGAGAAAGAAATCCTTTCTCTCTCCATCTACCCGGCAGGAACTCAGGTCGGCCCTTGACCCGCAGGGTCGGGGAGCGGCTGGAGACGTGCACACCGAGAAGCGAGGTACTTGGGGAGAAAATTAGGAGAAAGGGTCCCCTCACTGAATTTCCTTGCGCTCTTTGGAAACCCAGAGGCGGGAAGCGCTGTTTTTCTCATCTGAGGTCCCAACTGGAGTGAAAGGCGATATTCAGGAAAGAGACGGCTGCAGCTTCTTCCGACGGGGGTGGGGGCTGCGGGAAGAGGGAGAGCCGCGGAGCGCTGGCCGGGAGTGGCGAGAACGGGAAGGGGCAGAGGTGACCCGTCCGGGCTCCGGGACCCAGGAGGCGCTGGGGTGCGGAGCAAGCGGCGGCCACCGGGGCGCATTCGTGGGTCAGACAGGTAGGTGGCACTCGAAGCCCGGAAAAAAGGCGAAGGCGCCGGCTCCGAGTGGCCTCCGCGGCCGCCGCCGCCGCCACCACCATAAAGCCCGCGGCGAGATTGCGACCGGCGCCAGGTGAGTAATAGGCAACGAAATGCAGGGAGATTGCGAGCCATTCACCCCCGTCCATCAGCGCCACAAGAGTTACTCATTAACATCACTATATACAAATAAGATACAAAGGAGATTAAAAAAAAAAAAAACCCGGCCAGCTGTGGAGAAGCTGGACACACGCCTGAGCACTGTCCGAGAATTTTGGGGGTGGGGTGGGGAGGAGGTGAGCGGATCTGCAAATCTAGCGGGGGAAAGAAAAGCATGTCTTCCTTCTTTGAGGCCCAGGCTGTTTGCTCCCCACTCGGGAGAGCGCCTTTGGGCGCACCCGGTTGTGGAGCACATTCCCGGGGCCAACACCCGAGGTGCGCCCTGGAAATCAGCTGGCCCGCGGGGTCGCTAGCTTCCCACAAGTCCCCAGGCCCCGCACCGCCCAGTGCCCCTGTTGTTTTCCTTCCCAGCCCCGGAGACCGAACAGGAGGGTCTGTGAGGCAGCCCACGTGCCCGGCTGGAGAGGGAAGGGGCTCGGGGCCCCCCTCTCCAAAAGGTCCTGACCTCATCCTCTTCCAAGTACGGGATGAAGGAGGGGAGGGGATCCTCCTGGCCGGCCAGTCAAGAGGCTGGAAGGTGACAGGGACTTGGGGCCGGGCTGGCGGGCTCCAGGGAGGGGGGAGGAGGGTAGCAGCCGGACAGGCTCCGGCTGGGTCTTCACGTCACGGCCCTCAGGGCAAGGAAAGCCTGGAGAACCTTCTCGTACACCGCCCCCCCACCCCACCCCATCACACACACACAACTCCGAAATGAAGCTGCGGGTGCAGGACACCAAAAGACAGTCACGGCCTCCCATTTTTGATTGAATGTTTCAAAGATAAATTGAACTTCAAAAGGCAACTCCTCAAACAGCCTGGAGGCTGGTTAGAGGGGAGAACCGGAGGAGGGTGTGGGCCTGCTGGGTGACTTTCCCCTTGGAGGGGTTCAGATATGCGCCCTGGTATTACCTTTCCCATGCGGGGTGGGTGCGGGGCGGGAGGGGGCACTGGCCTCCTCCCTCGGCTGCTAGAGCCAAGTCTGCGCGGAGCGAGCGGAGCTTTGCATGCGCGACTTCGGGATGGGGCCTCGTTGGGGCGCCTTGGGTCGGCCTGGTTCAACCCGAGCCTCCAGGGACCGCGAAGGGGACGTTCAGCCTCTTACCACCTGGGATCTGGGCCCGGCCAGGCCAGGGCTGGCCGCGAGAAGACTCTGCTAGGTTTTGTTTTGTTTTGTTTTCTCCACACTGGTGCAGGGATATTTTTTGACTTGGATTTCCCAGATGGAGGTGAAACGAGAGAGGGACGCCGAAAGGAAAACGTCCGCAGCCCTCCAACGTATTTGTGGTCGGGTGCGTGTGGAAAGCACTGACTTAGGAGCATTCTTTTTCCATTAACACTGAAGTATCTGCAATTGCTATCCTATTCAGTTCTAATCAGCCCCCTTCCGTCTCTCGTCTTGCCCCCTAATTTAAAGGCAGAGTAATTTCAGATTGAAGCCGCGCTCCCTGCGCCGAGTAAGGGACTTTTGTTTTTAGCTTTGTAACTTGAGTGACATCTCATTTTGGTTCAGTGGGGGCGGTCTTAATTACTTAAAGGGGAAGGGAAGGGAGGAGAGGAAGTCAGGAGAGACTCCAAACGTTGCCTAAAAAAAAGCACTTCACTCAAGGCCCAAAGACATTTCAATAAAAATTTATTGAAATTTCAATGATGTTTCAAAGAGAGAGGGGGGAAAAATACAGAAAACCAAAGAACTCAACAATTATAACACAAAATATACCTTCATGAGTTTTTGTCTTTAAACCATCTCTCAGCACCTGACTTTTGAACTGTGAATATCTCGCTACAGGCACCAGCTCAAAACACCATCAATATTGAAGACAGTAGTCAATTCCACTTTGCTTTGAAGATATCAGAGACTAGCAAATACAAATACAAAAGGAAAATTAGAAAGTCAACCCGCAGCCTCTGCTGCCCCCACCCCTCTGTGCAACAAGCCATCTCAGAACCACTCACAGGGGGGGCTCCGCTTTAAGGAATTTAAGGTGGAGCGGGGAAGTGATACCACCTCTCCAATTTGGGGTAAAATAGGCAATAACACTTTTCCTCACTCTTGGACATTCAAAAAAAAAGTTTTTTTCCGGACAACTCTTTTGCAAGTGTGTGGGTGTTGGTGCAGAAAGTGTGTCTCCTAGTTTTAAAAGCGATCCTGTGACCTTGAACTCCAACTGACTACAGGGAAAATGGGAACACAGAGTCTGACAGCCACACTCCTATTTACACAGAGCTATGTACAATGTCAATAAATTAGAGTTTAATTTTCCGAGCATTCATATTCCACCTATGTACAGGAGTTATCAAATAATTACATAAATACTTTGCTAATAGTCTTGCTTCTTCTTTATTATTTTTTTAAACCTTGTTATTGCATATACAGGAAAGAGAGAGAACTGCCGGAGAGGGACATGAATCCTGCTACAGAGCTTAGATAAAATAAACTCATTTTTGTGTGTGTCTTCCCCCACCCCCTTCCCTTTAAATCCTCCCCCTTGGGGTTGCCAATGAGAATTGGGGAAAAAGGTGTGGGGTTATGTTCTTTTCTCTCTAAAAGCAAGCATTCAAACTGAAAAACCACAAATACATCACTTGTGGAACATGCAAGAAGAGACCTATAGTGGCTCTTAAAACATCACAAGAATATTAAAAAGACACAGATTTCCTTAAAAGAGACTAAACAAAGCTGGCAGCGACTCCCCCCCCAAAAAACAATGCTGCTCAGTAATTTATTTTAGAACTGATACGCAAGTCACTATAAAGTTTTTAATCTTCACAAACAGAATCATGTTAGTGTATTCATTTGCCCCCGGTATTTTTTTTAATTTTTATTTGTTTTTGTTTCCACTTGACACGGTGAAAGAAAAATATATATAAATCTGCACTGGGAGAGAAGCCTTTCAACACACGCCCCTCCCGGTGGGCCTGGCTATCTTTTTTTTTTTTCCTTCCCAGGCTCCCAGACCAACCTCGCCTGGGGGATGCTGTGGACAGACTCGTTTCAACTCCCGCCCCCAACGACTCAACGCAACTTAGGTTTCTGAGCCCCCAGAATCCGAGCCAGACCCCGGGTAAATAACCACGCCAAGAAGACAGGGCTTGTTTCTAGCACGTTCCCTCCAGGGGGTCAGCACCCCTCCCCAGACAGGACTGCCCGAAGCAGGGCTAACCAAACTGCACGCCCGTCGTTTATTTTATACCCAACAAAGTGCACTGCAGACGTGACTGGAATGAAGAGACTTCTCTGGGGAGGGTCTACGGGGACGCGCTGCGGGACCTGTCGGGCTTGGCTTCCAAGCCACTGACCAACCGCTGGATGCTCTGCAGTTCGCTGGTGGCCGCCTCTTTCTCGGGGCATAGTTTGGGCGACAAGGACACGGAGCTGGAGGAGAGGGTGGAGGAGCGGCTGTTGAGTTCCGAGCCGGAGTCCACGGCCACCGAGGCCGGGCTGGCGGCCAGGGCCGCGGCTTTGGCGTCCAGGGGCCCCGCGGCCGCCGCCATGGAGGGCAGGGCGGCGCTGAGCAGGCTGCTGCTGTCCGGGACCGGGACCGGGATGGAGTAGGGGCTGTAGCGCAGGCGTGGGCGCATGGTGTTCAGGTTGAGGAACGGGTGGCGGTGCACCGAGCTGGACGCCGCGGCGGAGGAGGCGGCGGCGGCGGCGGCCATGTAGGTGTAGGGGTAAGGGAACAGGCTTCCGAAAGGCGACATGGCCAGGCCCTGAGGGCGGGAGAGAAACGCACGCGGGGAGTCAGCCGAGGTGCGGCTGCCTGGTGACCGGGCAGGGGCCGCGCGGGGCGCAGGGGCCGACCTGGTCTATCCCCTCCAACCACCACCCCGACCACCTCGGAACTTGAGGAAGCCACTCTCCTCTCTGGGCGGGGGTGGGGGGGGCGGCGGGTGGCCGGTGGAGTTGGGGGGGGGTAAGGGAGGACTCTCAGACTTATTTCTCTAGATCCAAAACTTAGCTGTATCACCCTAAGCCGGGGCACTTCACTCCCTGTACCTCGGCTTTCTGATATGCAAAGAGAACAACAGGGAAATATTAAATAATTCATACACTATTGGGAACTCTGTGGACATTAAATGAGCTAATGCCTTCAATATGCTACGTGGGGCGCCTGGCCAAGCGGGCTGTCAGAGACCCTCCCGTCAGGGGCAGCCCCTGCACCTGTTCGAGGGGGCACAGTCAGTACGCCCTGCAGTGGTAGCTGCGTGGGCGCCAGAGGGCACGAATTATGAGACGTAATTATTTCTCATTCTCCAACCCCTCTCGAACCCTTCCACTCCAGCCCTAGAAGTTGCACAAAGATCTCAAGCAGAAGGACATTGTGGTGGGTGGGGTTGCAATAAAGAGAGACAAGTCTCAGAGCCTGACACGCTGGTGTTACAGGCGGAGAAACCGGGGGGGGGGGGGGGGGGGGTGCACTGCATAGGAAGTCAGCCAGCACGTGGCAGAAGCAGAAAGTAAAACCCGGGGACCCAGACCACTTCTCTGTCCCCTGCCCCGAGGTGCCATTTGGCCTTGTGTGCCCACGCAGCCCCTTGCCCACATGTCACCGGCCCACCTATGACTCCGTTCCAGGGGGAGCTAAAGGAGGGGATGGCAGGAACTGAGAAAGGCCAGACACCAACCCTTTTCTCAAGCCCCCAACTCCCCCCTGCCCCCCAGGAAGGCCAGTCCTGCCTCTTGGCTCCGGGAAGGGAGACGAATGTGTTCAGACAAAACAAGGCAAGGGCGTGTGGGAGTCCCCACAGATCCTGTCACTGGTTCAGTGTTTCCCAAGCACTGGAGACTTCTCCCAGGCCACCCCCAGCTGTCTGAACCACACAGACGCTGCCAGGCTGTCCCTCAAGCCTGACATTCCCCACGTGTGCCCAGACCATTAACCCTTTGGGAGACAGGCTAGCCGGCTTGGGGTGGGGGCAGGGGAGAGCTTCCAATTGGGAGAAAAGGCCTCAGCTGCCCTGCAAAGGGTCGGTGGCCCTCCCCTGGCAGGCCTCAGCCTCCCTCTTGTTTAATTCCTGAGGGAGGCCTGGCTGTGAGACCTTTAAGAGACATGTTAGCTCTGAAGCTAAAATCACAGACCCTAGAAAGGACTCTGGAGGGAGCTCCACCCACCTACTAGCTGTGTGACCTTGGATAAGTTACTCAACCTCTCTGGGCCTCGTCTACAGAGCGGAGGTGATACTAGTACCCTGAAGTCAGGATAGACCAGATACCCTGAAGAGTGTTTGGCACAACAGAAGTGCTATGCACAACTGTCATTATTACTACCTACCTATCCACTCTACTATAAACATCCCTTAACGTAAAAAATATTCTAAGATTTGGGATGGGGGGGTGTAAGGTTTTGATGAATCTAGAAGATAAACCCCACGCATAGGAATTACCATTATTCTTTGAAGTTACTGGGGGGGCGGGGGCTGGGTGTCTCCTATCAAAGGGAAGGAAAAGGAGAGGGCCTACCGCAGGGGCTGGAGAGGAGGCAGGAGGAAGGACAATACATACCTGAGAGGCCAGGACGTGCTGCTGGAGGTGGAAGGGCAGAGTGGCCGCAGACGCCCCCGACAGTCCCTGTGCCGCGGCGGCGGAGGCCATGGCTGTGGAGGCCATGGCCGTGGACTCCAGGCCCGAGACGCCAGTGGAGGCCCCGGACACCGTGGCAAGCAGGGGCCCCATGCCGGCTGCCATGCTGGAGAAGGCGCCCCCCATGGCGAACTGGCTGGGGTGCAGGAAGAGCGGGTGCCCATTGAAGAACTGCTGGCCAGCCAGGCCCGGGGCGAAGCCGAGGCCGGGCAGGGGGCCTTGGCCCAGGTGCGCGGTGGCCGCGTCCGTCTGCACCGTGAGCGGCGCGAAGGCTTCCTTGGCCGGCAGAGAGCGCGCCTCCTCGGCCTTGGATGTGGCCGCGCCCTCTCGACCTGGGCTCCGGCGCTCCTCCGCGCCCAGGCCGCGGGTGCTGGACGAGATGGTGGCCGGGCTGTGGCGCGAGTCAGGCGACGCCTTGTCCAGCCGCCCGCTGTCCCGGGGCCGGCCGCCGGGCTCCGCCGCGAAGAGGTGCGCCTTGACCGCGGGGCTGCCCTTGTCGCGGCTTGGCTCCTCCGACGTGGTGGTGGAGATCTTGGCCGCGTCGCAAGCCTCTGGCCCGTGTTCCTCTTTGCTCTCGGCCTCGGCGTCGCTCTCACCCTCGCTGGGACACAGGTCTGCCAAAAGAAAGGAACAAAGGCGAGGTGGAAGGGCTCCAACCCGGGCCAGCAGAAGCCAATTCCCTAGCAGGAATCTTGGCAGGGCCGAGTATTAGCTGGGTACCACCCGGCAAGCCCTTTAACCTCTCTTGTGCCTCAGTTTTCTCATCTGCAAAACGGGAGCAATGATACTTCATAACTTCAGTGGAAAAATTAAATCAGTTAACACTGAATTGAAAAGGATTTAGATAGATTGACCGGAACCCATCCCCCATGGCCACCTCGCCCCAAATCGGTAATCGATTTTACCCCCCCCTTTTTTTTTACAAGCACGGATTGAGCTCCTGCTGTGTCAGGCTATCTTTACTCACCTTTCGATGGCCAATCTACTGTTTAAAAAGGAAAACTAGCTCACACTAAAACTCACGGTGGGAACACCACCTCATTGCCACCTGGGCCTTCCTTCCGTGATGGCGACCTGCGCCTCCCGCAAGTCAGAAGGACCGTTTGAAGGGCACCCTGACAGCCGCACTGGATGGCAGTGACGGCGGTGAAGGCCCTGCCCAGAAGGCACACACTCAGGTGGGCCTGTGTCGCCCTGCCCTGTCCCCGCAGACGGAGACGGGTGCTGGGCAGCCCCCCTCTGCCCCCCAGACCGTCAGATTCTTTTTCCTCCCACCACACCCTCTGTGTGGGTGTCCTACCAGGAAAAAAGAAAAAGGGATCTTATTTTATGTATAAAGCTTCAATGGGTCAAAGAAGACATAAAGGACTTCCATTTTATTAAATGTAAAAAACAGGTTTCTTCCCCTTGCGGGAATGTGTGTGTCTTTCCAAATACATAGTGGGTTTTTTTGCTCTTTAAACACAGGAAACTGACTGGGGATGTGAACCACCTCCTCCTCTCCCAGCCCCCCTGCCCCCCTCCCGGATTGGGATCTCCCTTCTCACAGGCTGTGGCTCTACCACTGGATGTTTCCTTGGTCACCTTCCCTGTCTCCTTACTGTAAGTGGCAGAGAACCCCTGGCCTCCCACAGTGGCTGCCCCCAAAGCCCAACAATTTTACTCTTGAGTTCAAAGATGGCAAAAAGCCAGTAGTGGTTGGGAGACAGTTGGGCAGAGAGGGAGAGAGAGAGAGAGAGGGAGGGAGAGAGAGAGAGAAAGAAGTGCTTCAGGCAAGTTTTCTAAGCTGCCCTGCCAAGAAGACACTGCCTTTCCTGCCAGACTAAGGTTTGAGGGAAGGGGTTCTACGCCCTTCTTATACTAGCTCAGGACGGGGGACACACCTGACCACCCATTGGGAACAGTGGCTCCTCCTTACGGACTTCTAGAAGGGTCTGCAGCTTCTGAAGGGCAAGCTTCCTGGTGCCCACCCCACCCCCAACTCCTTGAGGCCTCCAAGCCCTGGAGTCCCGAAGGCAAGGTACCCAGGCTTACTTACCTTTGAGGTTGGATGTCCCAACGGTGGAGACAGCTGGGGAGGAGGACTGAGCAAAGCAGCTGAAGGCTGCCTGTTCGCTGGAGGACTCATCCGAGGTGCCATTGTCCTTCTTGTGTCTGTCCTCGAACACCCTCATGGACTGCAGGGTGAGCTGTTTTCTGCAGCAGAAGCCCACCCCCAGAGTCAGAGAATAGAACCTACATCCCCCCTGGCCCCCCCGCAACCCTGTGTGTCTCCCACGGTTCCAGGAGCACACACACCCCTCTCCCGCCTGCGCCCGCAGACTACACAATTGCGAAACATTCTAACTGGGCTGAAGACTGGCACCAGGGTGCTGGAAAGGAGAAAGCTTCGGTTGCATTTATTCAAGATCGGGGTTTCATTCGGGAAAGGGCAGGGGCTTGGGCTGTGAAGTTTTGTTGCAAAGCAGAAAACAAGAGGGGAGGTTGGAGCTGGCCAGAGGCTGTAGGACAGCCAGCCTGACTGAGGGAGGGGCACCGGGGGCCCAACGTGGGCCACAAAACAGCCCACTGCAAACCACCCCTGATTGCCGAAATGGGGAGGAAGCGGTTATTTCATGGTGCACTTCTCTGTGATCGGTTCACCAACACATTCATTGGAGGGGGAAAAATCTATTTAGATGTTAGCGATTATTTTTTTCATGCCTGCCCCCCTCTGGGAATAGGTGAAAAGTCTGGGTTGATTTGCTGGATTTCAGAAATTCTTTGAAAGCGGTGGGGGGAGGGATATGTTCCTTCCTATACTATCCAGCTGTCTGCTTGGTGCAAAATGACCCATGTGCCCAGGGAGGAGGGGCCACAGAGTTCTCCAGGGGCCTCAGCTCCGTCTGGTGGTATTTGCAAGACGAGACTGCAAAAATTCCAAAGCATTTTGTGAATGGCTTACTTCCTTCCTGGGACCTGCCTAGGAGGTAACTTCAATTAATGCGGAATTAATAAGCACCTGTATGTAATTGATTATCCCCGATGCTTTTCTTCCCGAGAGAACCATGGTGTGGCCTAGTGACTTTCCTCTAAGGGGACACAGAGGTGGACGCATAAAAGAAACACTGCCCCTGAAATCAGCAAGCACGTGGCAGAGGAGAGTCAACGAGCCCCCCTCTCCTCCCCTCCTCAATATAAGTGCCTGCATCCCACCTCCCAGTGGAGACCTGGGGCCTGGCAAAGTGGTTTTTCTTAAATTAATCAGAGAAATAACCATCTCAAGCTCACCTTTTTTCTCTCCTGCCATTTCCAGTGTCCCGGAATCCTTTCGCAAAAGGGTTGTTGTCTATTTTTAACTGAGTTATCTAGAAGGAGGACACACAAGCAAGAAAGACAGACACATTGGCATCCTTCTCTAGAATGTTCTGGGAGTGTCTCCCCCCACTTAGCAGTTGACTAGAAATCTGACTACCAACAGGAGACGTCACGGGGACGTGCCAGGGCACAAAGAAAGGGGGAGGAGGTGACAGCAGAAGTTTGGGGCCCCTCAGGGGGGCCCTGAGGTAAAAACCCAAGGAGACTGGGCCCCGGCCTTCACCTCCCATCGAAGCCAAACCAGGATTCCCGATGAAATGACCCCGCCTGGGACATGCCTCGTTCTTTTCTCTGGGCAGCCGGCAGCTCGGGCTTACATATGGAAAAGTCAGGACTGTCAAAAGGGACAACCTGGGGGCCTTAAAAGTATGCTTTCGGTTTGCATTTTTTTAATACTGTGCAATTAATCATGAAATACATTGTGGTACATTTCACTTCCCCTGACCCCAAACACAACACATAAACGAACACACAAACACACGCCAACCTTTCTCTGCGAATCTGATCATTTATGGGGTTTTTGACATCCCTGTGCTGGAGTGGGTTTCATTTATTTACTTATTATTAATTAATTAATTTATTTGTTTGGCTGGGTGAGGTGGGTGCTCGAGGATTTGTAGTCTTGACCAATTACAGCCGTGGAAGGACCGCATGACCATCGAAAACATTTGCATGTTTCTGCCACCACCATTAGGTAAAGGAGGCCTATGGCCGCACAGTCCAATCAAAAATCCTACAATGTATTATTTCAGCAACAACTTAAAAGATTCATGGGGTTCCAGGGTGAGAGGGAGCATGTGTTCCACAGGCTGAGGGGAACTGCTGTACTAGTACATCATCTTTCAAATCCCCTCCCTTTGGGGGCGGGTGGGAAATAATATCACAGAGGTCCCTACGAGGAAGAAAAGGCCCCCCCCCCAGCCGGATTCTTGTTCTTGGAATAAACCCCAGTGCGCTAGACTTGCAGGGAACGGGGGTCACAATGCCTTGTCTCCAGGCCTAGGAAACATACCTGAGACACCCCCATGCCCCAGCCACAGAGGACCCACCTATAGGGACAGTGAATTCAACACGAAGAGTGTTGTCCTGTCACTGGCAGTCACTGAGGTCTGGGGTTCCGAAGTTAAAGCACAGGGGTCCTCCGTTGCCAGCCCCTACCCCATCACTGCCTGCTAATGCTCATAGCCAAGCTGGTGACTTGGTGAATCAGCAGCAACCGTCACTGTGTGTCTCTGGGCTACGTGTCCATGACCTTCAGGCCACCATAACTTTACATACCAGGTGCTGCCTGCTGTTCCATTTGGGGACACTCCTAATCCCCCGCCTCAGGCCCAAGGGAGAGGGGGGAAAAAAAAAACAACTTCAAATGAAGTGGTGACTTCAGTCACCTCCTCTCAGAAGCCTCAGACAACTCAATTAGCATGACCCTGTGATCAGAGTAGGTTTTTCCAACCACACACACACACACCATAAAAAACACAACAGCATAAAAGGTAATAAAAACCAGACCAGCTAGCTACTCGCGATTCTGGCGAAGGGAGAGAAGCTGATCCCCACCGGGATTCTCCTCCCAGGATCTCCCGTGGCTTTTGCCTTAAATTGTTAGCTGGTTCCTCTTGGAACCTGATTTCTGGATCCTTCTTGCTAAAGGGGAAGAGAGTAAACCTTGACAGGACCGGGAGAAAGCCCCGAGGTCAGGGTGGGGGCAGGGCGGGCCGCCTCTGAGATAGTGGTTATTACAGGAGCTTTTCTCCCTGGCAAAGTTACTTTGCTGCTTTTTCGCTCAGCATTGAAATCCCAGCTGGCCAAGTTCTTTTTCTTTCTTTCTCTCTCTCTTTTTCCTTCTGCCTCTGCAATGTGCCAGCACCTCTTTTCCCCAAAGCTCGGCTGACGGTCAAATCACAGAAGAAAACTCAAGACCACCCCCCCAACACCAATCCCAGTTCTCTTGTGACTTTCTCACCCTCGTGTAAAGCAGCTTAAAGGACAAGAGACATTAAGGAAGGGGGAGGGGAACGTCTTTGATCACCTTATCATTCTGGTAGGCTGTCACGGCGATGAATTCAGTTTCAGGGAACAAGTATGTCCGAAATGTACTATATGGAAGTTTCAGGATGTCATTGGCTCTCACGATATGAAATCGGGGCTGGTATTTGTGCATGGAGTTCAGTATAGTCTGCAGAGGCAGGGGGAGGAGAGACACACAGGAAAAAGGGACTGAGCGGGAGGAACAGGATCTTGTGAGCCCTGCAAGGCTGACAGCTACCTCACCACGGGAGGGTACCGCGCCTGCACCAAGCCCACCTCCAGACAGCACCTCTCTGGGTACTTCGTCATTCCACCAACGGTATCGTCCGCAGAATCCAACATGGCTCGACCATTTCCAAAGGGTGCCCCCCGCCCTCACCAGCTCAGGTTCCTTGGAACCTTGAACCCTAGCCTACCTGAGTACCAAAACTATAATTCCCCTGCCACGCTGCGTGATCGCTTGGGAAGGCCAAAGTCTTAAAAGATAGAAAAAAACATGCATTTTAATTTACAAAATGATCCAGTCCTTAAAGCGTCCACTAATTGACGAGCCCAATCCACTTAAAGCCCCGAAAGGCTGAACTCTAGAGAGGAATATTTATGCCTTAATCAAATCAAGGACTTCAAATGCAATTCCTGCCCGTTGAAGAAATCTCTGCGCCCTTCGCCTCTTCCTGGGCCTAATCTTTCTGCTTATTCCTCGCTTATCACTGTTTATTTTATTGAAATGTTGGGGAGGGTAGGGGTTGGGGGCAAAAGGTCCTTTGCTAGACTTTTACAAGCAATCTAAGTCTCCCGAAAGTTTCTAAATATGCTTCCCCCTGAGTATATATACACATATCTATGCATTCCCAACACACACCATTTTTACACCGCAGATCTGTCTTGTTTCTAGTGAAGCCGACTTTCGCCTGAGCCTGATTTTTTGCGTAAAAGAAAAAAAAAACCAAACATGTTTCCCAAAATGGAATCACACCCTTTAATCAAATGTAGTGGAGGCTTTAAACCTTAACACTCTCCCGAGAAATACCACGGCTGATTTCAAGAGAGAAGACTATCGTAAAACCTGGATGAACACATCATTTGAAAATTGAGTTTGGAGCCTTCACGATGGGTTTTGAACTTCACTGTCAGGTCGGGCATTTTCCAAGACCCAGAACGGGCCCAGAACAGGAGCCCGGTCGGTACCTTTCTTTTAGAAAGGCCAGGCCTCCCGTTCTCGGAAGAGAACCTCCCCCCCCCCCCCCACTCCATGACTCTGACTCCCTTTTCCCTGTGGCTGATCACACAAATTCCTTAAGTTGGCCACCGGAAAAGAAGAGAGAAGCTTGAGCAGAAAACTCACGATTTTACAAGGCATGCAGAGAGCAGGGCCCTAACTAGAGTGAAGACAGAGAATATTTGACTGAAAGGAGCGGTGGAACTTACAAATCCATGCTTGTCCGAAATGTTGTTGGTGAGTTTCAGTTTGTGGAAAGTGACAACCTTGGACATCCACTGCTCCCCGGTGGCCGGGCTGTCGGGGTGAATATACATTCTCTTTGGCATTTCAGGGTCAGCCTTACCCGCCACCATCCACCGAGAATTGTGAAATTTATATCGACAGTCATCGGCAGCTATAATGTCCATCAACAAAATATATTTGGCTTTTTTATCCAGCCCGGAACATCTCACTTTAAATGGGGGAAACATTCGCCTGCAATAAGAGAGAAGGGAAAAGAAATAAAAAAATAACAAGTCACCTAGAATCTTGGGTTTGATATTCTGTTTGGCCTAAAAAAACTTAAATCGAATGTAAAATGTATGGATGAACATATTGGGTTCAGAGGACAGAGGCTGGGCGCAAAATTGTTTTCTCCCACGCACAAGTATTAAATAGACTACATTTCTTTTCAAATGCCCCAAGATTCAAAACAAGGGAATTCTAGCCCTGCATTTCTCTACAGCATCTCCTAATGTCTTTACATATTTTTCTGTCTGTTGTGACTTTGTAGATTGCCCTCTTCCTAGGGAAACTCTTGCTCATGTCTTTTCCTGGGGGTGTGTAGCTCTAAACGGCTTTGGGGTAGGATTTTTAAAGTGCGGTCAGTTAAAGCTAGAATTTTTTTTCCACCACCCGTCGATGAGAAAATGTTTAACTCATCAAGGAAATGAACGTCGAGTTTATTCTGAAGCAATCCCGCTGCTGGCGAAAAATGAAACTGGGCTTCGGTGCGCTCTCAAAACGCACTTGGTAGTGAGGAGTGCACTCCCAGGCCGGAGCACCCGTGTGCCGGGAGCCGCTTACCACAGTCCCCGGTCCCTAACTGCGAGACCGGGCCACCAGATCTGGTTGTTCCCAGCACTGCTGGCTTGCTATGCTCTCGACCTCAAGGAAGCACTGTGCTGTGTTTCCTGGGTCTGAGGAATTTTATGCCCAACTTTGGCCTCATGCAGCTTGAAAAGACACAAAGCTGAAGGCATCAAGAGCGGAGTTTTAGTTTTATTCTTTCAACTTTATGCCTTGAAAGACTTCGATGCCATTAACAAACAAACAAACAAACAAAAGAATCCATGATTTTATGTGACAGGCAGATTTTGGCCAGGCCAAGGACCTCTCTGGTTGATAGTATTTACACATAAAACAGAAGCATGTGTCTAGGTCTCCCCACGGGTTTCTTGGGTCTGCAAACATAATCTTAATTCTCCCCAGATCGCACCCTGAACTCTCCCTTGGATTAGGGACACGGGAAGCGGTCTGGACAAACAAACCCAGCTGCCCTTCGGATTCTCCCCTGACCCTGGCAGCCCAGGGCCCAGGCCCCCTGCAGAACCCCAGGCTAGCCTGGAGGACAGAAAGGGCCAGGGGAGCTGATGCCAGGCCTCCTGTTATCACACAAAAGAAAGGGACTTTAAGTTTTTGCCCCTGAGCACGAAATGAAACAGACAAAAACACAACAGCAACCAAACCGTAAGCCTGTCTTCCACAGGTCTGAGCAGCGAAACTCCCTGCATGGGGGGTGGTGTCCTTTCTCGCTGCAAAGAGGGCTGAACTGCTGAGAAAATTCCATCTATCCAGGCTGCAGACTTCGCCAGGAAAACCCCCGCCTGCAGACACCCAGGTAAGCTGAAATTTCCTCCCATGGGGGCAGCAGGCCCGGGAGCCTCCGCACAGTTCCAGGGGAACGAAAGTTTTCTTGGAAGCCAAAATGTCCTGACAGACAGACTGTCTGGGAGGAGAGAGAGAAAGGGAGGGAAAACCCTCCCAGAGTTTGGGGAATGGGGCCCTCTGCTCGCTTACCTTCCGGATTTGGTAATGACCATCTCGGTGCCCCGCTTGTGGAACTGATCCCAAAGTTCTTTGGCCTCGAGGTGCACCTTCGGGTCATCCTCCACCTCTTCTTCGGGCTCCATGGTCTTCAGAGGCCTCAGATGTGCCTGGGGCCCCAGAGACGAGAAAGGGATACCGGTTTCGGCCGCCCCCACCAATTGATCCATGATCGGCTTGGCCAGGGCGCCCGGCAGCGAGAGCGCCGCCGCGCCGTTGGGAGGCAGAGTCAGCGCGGGGAAGAAAGGCGGCTGGTGACCCAGAACCGCGCTCATGGCGAAGTCCGGCGCCCGGTGAGGTAGGAACGGGTGGTAGGCCATGCTCGTCCCAGGAATGACCGGATCTCTCATGGAGAGGTTCATCCACTCCAGGCGGGGCGCTGGGCTCCAGCCGGGGACAAGTCCGCAGCTGCTGTTTTGTTTTGTTTTTGTCTTTTAACAGCAGCGCATAGTTTAAAAAAAAAAAGCAAAAAGAGGGGAAAAAAGAAAGAAAAAAATCACAACGACAGCACCTCAAAGGGAGAGGGAGTGAGTGTCTTTTGGGGGGAACGCCGCTTTTAAAGAGGACAATTGGGAGACATAGCCGCTGGGGTGACTGTCCTTGTGCCTTGCGTTTTTAAAAAGCCGCTCCTGCAAGTCGGTTTCAGAGGCGACGGGAGCGAGCAGGCTTTCGACTCGCGCCCGAGCCCTGCCGCTCTGCTCGAAATGGACACTCCGGCCCTGGGTCCCAGGGACCGCGCCCCAGCCCCTAGTTCTTTGTTGCAACTGCAAACGGTTCTCTTAGGAGACTTTTTACCTTTTCTTCTCCTTCTTCTTCCCCCGCCCCCCTATCTCTCTTCCTCTCCCTCTTTCTCGCAGGAGGCGCCTGCCGTTGCGCTGGACTCGGCTGGAACCGCCGGCGAGAGGGCAGAAAAAGTCTCTCTCCTTTAAAAAAAAAAAAAAAAATCTCTGATTTAAGCCCTCTTCGGGCAGCGCTATCACAACTTGCACTGCACGCTGGCTTCCGTTCGCCGCCGCCTCCTGCCTCCGCTCCGAGCCTCCGGAGGGTGTCTGGGTTCCAGTCCGAGTCCGGCCGTGCTCTTCTCTCGCGCCTGTCGTCTTCCGTGTCCTAAAACGTGAGCAAATTCGCTTCCTAAATCTGCGTCCAGACGCGCAGGGCAGGGAGGATGGAGGGGGGGAAATGGGAAAGGAGGGAGAGAGAGAAAGAGAGAGACGGAGCAGGAGAGGGAGCGCGCGGAGAGGGAGGGAGCGAGCCAGCCAGCCGGAGCTGCTCGCCACCCTCCTCCGCCTCTAGAATTCCCCGGGCGTCTGCTCGGCGGCTCTAGAAGGTCGGGCTCTGCTCTGGGCTGCGGGGAGCCGGGGGCCTCTTGATTGGCTCTTTGACGCTTTCGGACCAATTGTGTTGCTGCATAGGCGTGGTTTTCACAGGTCGAGTGCTGGGGGGAATAGAGCCGAGTTATAAAAAGAAGGTGTCGGAAACTGTAACGTCGCAGCGCCGCATCGGTACTACTGCCTGTCCTGTGAATATGTCAACATGATCAGAGGGAGGGCGGGCGCCACCGAGGAGCGCGCGCACTGAGTCGCCTCTAGGTGGCTTATCGAGAGATCGCCACAGCCCTAGAGCTCGCTCGCTTGCTCTTGCTCAGCCCAAGTCTGAAATGCCTCAGTCATCCAACCCGAGATCGAGGGAGGAGGCAGGGCCAGGCAGGAAGGGGAGGGAGGAGGGAGCGAGCGATCTGGGCTAGGAAGGCGGAGAGAGCGCCGGGCGCCGGGCAGGGGCGCTCGCCTCTCGCGCGCTCGGCTCGCCTAGCCTCTCCGCCGCCGCGGCCTTTTCTCTCTCTCGTTCGCCCTCTTAGTAACCAGCCCCCGGCGAGCCAGGCGGACGTGAGAGCCTCCTGCGAGCTGCCGTTCCGCCGCTGAGCGCAACAAAAGCCGCCTGCAGCCGCGGGGAGGCGAGCGCCCAGACTCCGGGCTTGCGCGCTCTTCAGCCCCACGTGGAGCCAAACCCCGCCCGGACGCCGCTCCAGGGCTCCCGAGCTCCGGTGTCTCTCCTTACTGGTCTCCCCTGCCTGTGGGCTCGCGGACTCCCGAGCACACGGATGCGGCCAGATCTCAGCACACACGTGCGGGGCTCCTTCTTCGCCTTGGCCCACCGGAGCCCGGGCGCGGAGTCCCAAACACCCCCAGCACATCAGTACGCAAACACGCGCCAGCACACTGGGACCACGCCACCCGCGGGAAAAGCACGTACGCGCAAACACGTACACAGCCTGCGCCGCCGGCCCTGTCTGCGCTCACTCGGGGAGGTGGACTGGGGATTTGGTGAAATGCATTAAGCAGCCCTTTTAGATCTGGTCTTCGGCCTGGATTCGGGCTCCTCGTGTTCCACCTGAAAGCGTTTATGAGTGTGGAGGGGAGACTGGAGATCTGGGCAAAGTGAACGCGGCGCCGGACTAGGTTCTGGGCCGGTCTCCGCCAAGCCGCGGCCCTCCCCTGCGAGGCCCGCTCAGAGCGGGGCTGGGAGTCAGGAGCTGGGAGGGGGAGGTGCGCCAGCCTCGTATCTTCTGCAGGCATCGCACTTATCTTGGAGCCTCAGTTCTTCCTCTAACCGGGACTTATCTCGCCAGTAGTCAGGGGTGAATTTGTAAAACAAACCGTGAAACGCCCCCACCCTAGAGGGGCAGAGGCTGGTTCCAGTTCAGGTACGGTGGGGGCGTGAAGGGGAGGAAGGCAACCCGATCTTACAGATCAAACCTGTCGCGGAATTGGTAACTGTGACCGAAGGGCCTTGCCTGGGTCAGAGGATTCCCTAAACCACATTTCTCGCTTCTGGGGGGTGGAGGGGGGGGGGCAGGAGTCGGGCCATTGCTGCTTGGAGAGAATTCTTGGGGACACTGTTCTTTTAAAGAAAGGGTTGATTTCAGGGCCTAGGGATTAAGACCTGTGCGGGTCTCTGAGCGGGCGTGCCCTATCTTCTTTCCCACTTTGCCTTGTGTACCCCCCTACGCCCCCAGCTCCCGACTCCGAAGCAGGAGCAAATGGAGGGGGGAATGCAGTTTCTTTGTGGGCCAACCGCACCGAGATAGGGGCGGAACTTTTGAGGCGACAAGCTTTTCCAGCCTCGCATTTTTGACGCACATGGTTAAGAGCGCTTGGCGCCAGCCCCGAGAATCCCCTTAAGTCACAAAGAGAATGCAGTGGTTCTGCGAACTCAGTCTGGCTCGCCACTTCGCCCCCTTTATTTTCCTTTAGGTCTGTCTTTCTCTCTGGCGTCCTCGCGGTCTCTCTCTGCCGACTGTTAGGAAGATTAAGGGGAAAGAAGAGAGGCGGCAGGGCCTAGGGTGTGAGCTCCAAACTCCCCCTCCCGCGTCCCTTGCGGCCAGGCCTTCCCCCTCTTAGCGCTGACCACTGAGGTCACTGCAGGGTTTCGGAAGTCTCCGGAGGCAAAAACCCACCCTCTCCATATTGCTCGCCGCCAGAGCCTGGGGCAGCTTCGCGGCGCTTTCTGGAGCGGCCCCAAATCCCCGCGATCGGTTTTTGCCTGCACCCGCAGGCCAGCCTCCGCCCTGCCACTCGGAGGAGAAAAAAGAATAATAATTCTGCAGCCACGGTGGGACTGTCCTCACGCACTGGGTGCCTCGAGTCCAGAAGCGCAGGAGGGAGACATTTCACGTGGCCCCCCGAGACATTCTGGCCTCCTTTCTGTTTCGGACGTGCGAGGGGAGCTTGCGGGTTTCATTTGTAAATATCCCGACTTGCCTTTGGCCCCACGGTGGACCGAGTTTTCTCTGCCTTTCATAATGCCCCTCCCTCAGTGGCCTGTTTTTGCCCGCCGCTCTCACTTAACCCCGGGGTCGCCCCAGTTGCCGCCCCTGACCCCTACACCCCCAGTTTAGAGCGCAAGGAAGGGGAGGAGAAGACGAGAGTTTGCGGGGTTCCGAAGCGAAAATGTCGACATCTCGCTAATGGTCTGCAAACTTCCGCCAATTATGACTGACCTCCCAGACTCGGCCCCAGGAGGCTCGTATTATGCAGGGAGGCCTCGGTAACTTGGGATCAAAAGCGCGAAGGTGCGAACTCCTCTTTGTCTCTGCGGGGCCGCCGCGCCCCCCTCCCGGTGGGTGATAAACCCGCTCTGGCGCCGGCCGTGCGCTGGGTGATTAATTTGCAAACAAACAAAAGCGGCCCGGTGGCCGCCGGATTCGAGTTAAACTTTGGCTAACGTATTCCAAGGACCTGTGCCAGGCCTGGCCGCCAGGGGAACCCAGCGGCTGGCGCCCCCCAGCCCCCCTAGGCTCCAGATGCGGGCCGTGCACGGTCCTTTTTTTTTTTTTTTTTTCCTCTCTGCAGACCCCCTCGATTCTCTCTCTCTTTCTCCTTCTCCTCCCCTTCGACTCATTGTCAACAAAAGTCACACGGGAACACAGAATGAGCCAGCGCTTCAACAGAGCCCGAGAAACGCTACTTTAAGGACAGAAAAAGAGGCACAAAGTTTGGATTCAGAAGGACCCACGGAACTCCTGGCGTCCTCGAATATCCCTCCACCTTTTGCAAAAAGATTTCTCACTTCCCCCCTCGTAGGCCTGAGTTTTAGTACTAAAATAGCCTTCACATATCTGTTAGTGGCCGCAGCCTGCGATGCACGCCATTCTGCAGTCGTGGTGACTGCAGAAGTTAAAATGGGGGGGAAGAGGCAGAGAGGCCTCGGCCTACATTTCATCTGTACGCGCGCGAAGTCGAATGAGCCACCCTCCGCCCAGGCCTCGCATGCGGCGGAGATACCAGTTTTGCCCACAAAACGCAGGGGAAGCGTGGGCCGGATCTCACTTCTCCCTACATCGCCGACTGGAGAGGGGACAGGCCGACCCCTTTGTGACCGAAGAGTGTTTATCTGAAGTTTACCGAAAAGCGGGGGAGGAGAGGGAAAGGGTGGTGGGTAGGCGGGGTCGTTTACTTTGGCAACTTTGCTGTAAATATTCCCTTTAGCATGTGTGAGGTCTGGCTAGGGACTATTCCACGCTTATTCCCTCTTAAACTTTCACCCCGGTTCGCCGGGCGGAGCTTTCTGCAGTCCGAGGTGTCGCTAAATTGGAAACTCTGTTGACACAAGGACATCCGTGTTTCTCCAGGCCTCTGAGGCCTAATTAAGAAGTTTTCTATGGAGGCGGGGGGTCGGTCAATACATAAACTTTTACTGAGAAGGGGGCTTTCTGCCCAGTGTCTCTGCCCAATGCGCCCTGGACCCTGCTCTTTGGTGAGTGAGAAAATTTGAAACGGACTAACACTCCCATTCTCCTTCCTCAGTGACCCCGACGGGGGACCGGGGATGGGGCACGTGGTCTTCTTATCAAGGATCGCAGGGAAGCGGCTCCCTGGGGGGAGCCTAGCTTAGGGGTCAGGGTCCCTTCCTAGATCGCAGCCCCTTCCCACACGGGGACCCCCTGTGCTGCCCAAACCCCGACTCTCCCTCACACAGTTCTGAACCAGAAAGAGGACTTCTTGGCGGGCCTGGAAAGCTCGATTTTCCTCGAGGTGGGGTTCAGCATTCACACCCCCTCCCCGCCAGCTCCTTTGAAGAACTTCGTTTTTTTTAAGAAAAGTCATGCGGTTGAGGGGTCCGTTTCCTCACCTTTCCTCCCCCCAGAAGCTGGCGACAAGTCTCTTGGGTGCAGGAGACAGGATGCCCACCTCTCCCACCCCCTTCCCCATCTCTGTTAATCTCCCTGCAAGATTCTATGACTGTAGACCTGTGATCTTTTGTCCTCTGTTCCCTTAAACTTCCTCTTCTCCCCCCACCCCCGCCCCCATCTATCTTGTTCTTGGTTTCTATTTCTCCCTCTTGTCTGCCTCTGTTCCTCGGCCTTTAACTTCCCTGGTCCTTTCTGTTTTTCACGCCCTCTCCTTTCTAGTCCCCCCCCCTCGGTTTCCTCTGGCTTCCCCGGCCCCTCTGAATCTCTCCTGCCCTCCTGTATTTCTGGGTGGGCTCTGCGTTTCCCCCTCCTGCTCCCCCTCATCTTCTTCAGTAACCAGGCCAGGCTGGAGATACCTCCCTAACCGGCGTGTGAACAGACACATTCCCCTGACCCCTTGGCTAGTGCTGATAAGGTGCCTCACAGACAGAAAAGGGCAGGGCCCCTTTGTCTAGGTTGGAAGTGTCACCTTCTCCTTTTGGTAGCCCCAAAGTCACCCTTTTCCCCAGAGCTGGTTCACACCCCTATCCCAATGCTCTGATCTCTCTCTCTCTCTCCTTCCCTCTCCCCTCTTTTCAAGGCAAGAGTCCAGAGTGAGGAGGGGTCATGTTGGGGCTTTGCTCCTACCCTCTGTCTTGCCCCAGAAGCACTGGGCTTTCCTGTAGGACACATTTCCCTGTCCTCTGTCAGCCCTCTAAATTATTGATCGGGCAGTTCAGTGCAAGAGCCTGCAATGTGTGAGCGAGAGCAGATTGTCAAAGTTGTCCAGCTCGGGGAAGCAGTATTTTTAGTGCAGAGGCTCACTTTGGCGCCAGCTGGTTTCTGCTCTTTCTAGAGCATCATTCTTTATACACTTAATCCATGCTTATCGTACCTCCTTTTAATGTAAATAGGGTTTTGGCAGAGGCAAAATGAAAAGACTTCACCCCCTGCATTATTCTTATTAGCACCTACCTCCCATCAAAGCAGATCGCTCTGCAAAATGGCAAATTTGTACAGGGCTAGTGATTTAGATAAGTTGGAAGGGAAGCAAGGGTGGATGGAGGAAGTGTGTGTGTGTGTGTGTGTGTGTGTGTGTGTGCAGAGGGTGCAGAGGGTGCCTTTTACACATCTGTGAAGGTTTTTCCCCTTTCTCTCATTCAGGAAAAGGAACTAATTGTGGTTTCCTAATTTCAAACCAGCCTACATCTTCAATGCTCTCTCTCTCTCTGTGTTTACCCAGTTACTAAAAAAAAAAAGAAAAGAAAAGAAAGAAAGAAAGTGAAAAACAACATAATGGAAGACATAATTTCTGCTTAGTCCAGCAGAAATGAATTCATGAGGAAGAGGCCGGGAATTTTCCCTCTCATCTTATCTGACCCAGCATCAGGGAGACGCCAGCCTGAGCTGACCTGGGCCTCAGGTTCTCCTGACCACCCAGTACCTGTCTTTATTCAACATCCTCTTTCCAGATTTTCCGTGGAGACAGGTAAGGGTGTAAACGGCCCCTCTGCGATTTGTGCCAGGAATCTGGCTCATGGGTTGGGGGTCTGGGGAGGCAGAACACTTTAGAAAAGGATGAAGGAAAAATGTAAGTGTATGTACTGTTCAGTCCCCAATGGCAGACCGAGGGGGTCGTCCAACGGCCCATCTTACGCCTGAGGGTTTCCGCTTTTGCTTTTTCCATTATCGCTGGTGTTGTCGTTAGGTGCCAGGGGGCAGGGGGGTCTCACCCTGCGAGAGCAGCCAGGACCCTCTGAGGGAGTAGGGGACTCTGTCACGGAGAGGGCATGACAAATTAAATGGCCGCTACTGTCAGGAAGGTCGACAGGGCAAAGGCACAGCGGCTCCTCCAAATCTGCCGAACTAACTGTCCCCTCGTAGCGGCAGACACGTTCCCTCCATTTGAGCACAGTATCCATTACTGGTTCCCGTACTGGGTTTCAGCTGGAGCCGGGGAGAGCCGGGAGGGGAGGTGGGAGGCGGGCGCGGGGCCATGGGCCCAGAAGTGCTGTTGCCTCGTCCCCCGTCTTGTCTCCGTGTCCTTCCTGCAGCCTCCCTTTGCTTCTAGCCGGCCGTCCAGTCTGCCTGCCTTCCCAAAGGAGGGGTTTGCCGGGCTCCCAGATCCAGCAGAGGGAGGGCGGAGGAAAGCGGACAACCCCCTTACCCGTTCACACCCCATGAAGCCCCCCAGAGAGAGAGAGTTGTTTCTCAGGGGGGACAGTTGCTTGGGAGCATAGACTTTCTGGGATTGGAGGGATGTATAAACCTTTAAAGTTCCAGGTTGTACAGTTATTTTGAAAACGGATACAATCCCTGCTTCCTGGCGTGGAGAAGATAACCTTTCTGGGGCCTAGGACCCGCAGGGCGGTGGGGGGCGATTTCACCTGCTTCTCTGGGGTGCCAGGCACGTGGGGGGTGGGCAGGGAAGCCCGCTAAAGGCCGGGATTTGGGGGTCCTGAATTCAGAATCCTGACTCCAAACCTGGCCTCTCACTGGGCAGCTGTCCCATGCCCAGGCAAACTCTGGCCAAACTCACGACTCACAGTTTGGAGCCAAGAACCGACTCTTTCTCCCCTCTGTCTTCTGTGATCACTGACCCCGCACCAGGGCCATTCAGATACCTGGGGGAGGGAGGGAGGGGTCACTGCGCTTCGGTCAGCCTTAATTACTGGACAGTCCCCGGTAGCCTCCGCCTCCATGCCAGTGAAAGACTGGAGGCCTCGGCAGTGGGGCTGCAAAGCTCGCTCCCATCCCAGTCACCCCTGCCCAGGTAACACCAGCACAAACCCTTCACCAGTCCGGCGGAATAGCCAGGGAAGTGGGGGGTGGGGTGGGGGGACTGTGCTGTCTTTGGACCTGAGCTGGAGGTTGGGGTACAAGTTGTGGCCTGAGAGATCCCAGAAGTCTTTACAAAGTCGCCGGCCTTCAGGTTGAATACACGAGGGCTGTAAAAGTTTCCTTAAGTTTGCAATTTTTATTTATCTTTTAGAGGAAGAAGAGAGAGGGAGGCAGAGGCCTGAGCGCGCGCACACTCAGAAAGCGAAAATGTTTGGAATGGAGAGCGCTTTTCCTAAGAGTTGCTTCTGCTGGCGCCCAGGCCTCCGTGCATTTCATTTCCGAGCCAAATACTAAAAATCCTCGGGCGGGCCGGCGGAGAGGAGCGGCCTTCCCGATGTAGCAACCTGCTTTTGCCTTTTCCTCGCGGTGCCCTTTCCTTCTTTCTCTGGAAAAGGAAAACTTGGGGCCCTAGGAAGGAGTGGGAGACAGCGACAGCCCGGGGCGCCCCAGGAGGTGCTCGGGCGTCGGTCTGGGCCCCCGGGCGGGGGACTTCGCCTCCCACCGTCCCCCTCACCCCGGTTCCAAATACGGAAGCTGGACGCGCCTCTGAGCGGCTCCAGGCCTCGCCCCGCGCGGAACCCGAGAAGACGCTCGCTACCTCGGATTACGCTGCAGCCCGGGGCCCGGGCCGGGGCTCCGATGCGGCACCCAACGCCGCAGCGGCCCGCGGAGGAGCAACGGGGTCTCGGACAGGCTGGCCTGCCCCGGCCCTCGGTCGCGGCAAGGTCCCTCCGGGCCCGGGAACCCGCGCGCGGCGGGCACGGGCTCCCTGCGCGAGTTACCTGCCTCCCTTCGGCAGCTACCGGGGCGGGGCGAGGCGGGCTCCCGGATGGGAAAGACGAAAAGGCGGCCGGCCGGCTCCCTGAGAGAACGAAAACTAAGGGTACGGGGAGTTCGGAGCCTCTCCCCGCCCAGAGTCCGCTCGTCTTCTGCGGAGGTGATGGCCACCTCCCCCTCCACTCCGGTGGCAAAGGGTAATAACTCCGGGATGGAGAGTAAAGATCTTAATTAAGTAGGGCGGGCGGGGGGCTACGAAAAATAAAAGAGAAATGTAAACACTCTCTGCCTCTTCAAGTGACTGAAAAACAATCGGGAGGACGTAGCCTCCTGGGAGAAAAACAAGACTCCGAGGGAGCCGAGCTGAGCCCGGAGAGAATTTTTCTCGTGCAGAAGAGAGGGTGGGGTGGAGGGCGCGTTCATCCTCTCCCACCGCTGGGGTGTGTTTTTACATGTTTTCTTAGCAGCCAGTTCTATAAACAGGTTAGCCCTACGCTGCCAGCCGAGGAAATCTGAGGCTGCCCCTGGCTCCGAGTGTAGACGCCTCTCTTTCTCACTCGCCCCGGGACAAGCCCAGTGCGCCAGGGGGGCGAGGAGCGGGGTGGGGGCGCCCCCTCCCGCTTCTGGCTTGGAGGGTGCCTTTGCTTTGGAAATCTCTCCTCTTGTCTTCAGATGGTAAAATATGAGTCCTCCAAATGTCTGAGTCTGGTCCTCTGGTACCTCAAGCAAGGTTTGGGTAGTAGGGGGTGGGGGCAGAAGGGGCTGCTATAATTACCTCTGCGCGGAGTGGGGGTGGGGCGTGGATTCTCTCTTTTCAGCCCGGCCCTGCTGGGGTGCTGGGCGCATTATTAAACCCAGACGCTCCGTCCCGGAGTTGGGACCATGCGGAAAAGATTTACAATTAAGCCAATTGGGGCCGAATCCAGCCATCCAAAGTTTGCAGGTGTAAATAATGCCTGGCTCCCCCCCCCCTTTTACAAGAGACTGCATTTCAACCTCCCTTCCTCCCCCCACCACTTTTGAGAGGCACGGGGGGAAGGACGGTTACGAGTTACGAGGTTTTTTTTTCCTGTTAGATAAAGTATGATGTTGCATTCACTTACATGTCCGCGTATTAATGCCGTGAATACCGGGGCAGCCCCGTCTACTACGTTCCTCTGTCTAGAACTTGAGAATTGCTGGACTCAGTGAGAGGCCTTTGGAGTGTAGGTTATGAATTTGGGAGGGGGCACCAAACAGATTCCTGTGTAACAGGGGTATCAGAGTTGGGCTATGAAGAGACTGTGTCATTGTAGGGATTGAGTGAGGGGCGAAGAAAATTTCCTTTGGCTGGAACGTGGGAAGACTCACCCAAGGTGAATGTCAAGGGGGGGGGCGGGAGTAAGGGGAGGTTAGAGGGGGGAGCCTGGCTTTCTGGCTCAATTCTCAAATTTCTGAGAGTAGAGCTACCCCACTTTTTCTGGAGCTTCCAATTAGATCTCCCTAGTGTTGGGGAGCTTGCCGAGCCAAGCCTGGGTCCAAGTTTAAGGCTATATTCCATGGCAGTATTGAAACGTAAGAGACCATGCGTGGGCATTTCTAGAATGTGCTGTGTGTCCCTATGGACACTGCAGGTAGCCCGAAATATGAAATGAAGTCTCCTTTAGAAACGCATTGCCCCCACACCTCAGGGACGCACTACCATTCGATCAGTGCAGACAGAGTTAAATTGGTTTTGCAGCTACACGGCCATCTATTCCTCTTCTCCCTGAGCAATCAAGTCTGTTACAAATTACCAGGGAATTGGAGAATATGGCTCCCCCCCTCCTAGAAAAAAAAAAACCCTGTTTTTCGGTGTTTTTCGTCTTGCACTAGCCCGCTCAACAATATAGGTAATATGTGTGTATACAGTCGTCCTTCAAAAAAAAAAACAAAAAACAAAACCCAGCGCTAACACTCTGGGTGTGTAAAGAGTCGTGTCCGTCTTGCTCTGTGATGAGGATTCCGTGAGCACCACGTCGCCACTCTGGAGACCCGAGGGGGTCAACACCCACCGGGGCCGCAGCGGGGAGGGGATGTCTCGTCTGGGTTGCAAGCAGGGGCAGGGAGTCAAGGCGCCTGACTGCAGCGGGGATAAGGTCATAGGTATAGAATTAGGAATAAGGCAGGACTTAACACGCCCGCATGGAAGGGAGAGCAAGCGTCACCCAGCCCTAGATGAAACCCGGCGCCGCCGCAGGAAAGTTTCCAGGCAGTGGTGGTGCAAACACACGCTTTTTTTTTTTTCCTCCCTGTTTTTTTTCTCTTCTTTAAAAAATCTCCTACTCAGCGCTTGTATTGGGCATGCACAGAAGGGGGTGGGGAGAGATCCTTGGGTGAACCCAAATCAGCATCAAGCCGTGCGCGGGGAATTCGTGGGAAGGCTAGGAGGTGGAATTGCCCTCCTCCCGGGGAGTGGGCAGAGGAAGGGACCGTTTCCCAGGGAGAAATCCCTCACCTGGCTTCGGTAGAGGCTCGTCAGGAACTTCTGCGAAGGGTGCCCTTGGCGACTTGCCGCTGGATGGCGCTCAGGGGAGACGAGGCGGGCGGACCGTCTGCCTCCGCGTGCCGCGCAGGGCCTGAGCGAATCTCCCCTGACCACGGGGTGGGCACCTCACTTTGGAACTTCCTCAGTGGCGCCCGGAGGCCGAAGCTGTTCCGGGAAGCTGGGGCGGTAGTAGGTCTCCCACGGTCCGCCCAATCTGGAAGTTGGACCAGAGAGGTGGGGCAAGAACAGGGATGTGGGGGAAAGGTTTCTAGGGAGAGCTAGCGCCTGTGTGTCTTAGGTGCCACCTACAGTAGCTCCTTTCCAGCTGGAAGGTGTGTGTGCTGTGGGGGAGTGGTTCGGAAAGA